GGCCTTTTTGCAGAGTCAAATGGCACGAGCAGGGCGCAGCTACTTGAATGCATCTTCTCACGTGCTGGCGGCAGCTTTGACCTTAAGACAACCGTTCACAGTCAGCTCCTATGCAAGCATTCCGTCAACGCTTGCAGCACGAGCTCGCCACACGCCAAACCATCTTCGGCTTCGGGGATGTCCACCTCAACAAGCAGAGATAGACGGGGAGCCCTGCAGAAACAAACCAAGTTGACCGGCAAGCTGCCAGGCATCGCCAGACTGAGGTTTGCACTCCCAGGTGCCACGCTGCTTCCGGCCAGAATTTGGCCTCAAACCGGCTCGATGCAGGCAAGGCGCCGCAAATCCATGTTCTCTGAGGGCACCGCCAGGCCCAGCAGTAGTCTTGCCCACCTGAGCTCAAAGCATCTCAAAGCCACGCCCTCTCATGAAACTTCGAAGAGCATCTGAGACTGTTGTTTGTTCCAATGCAAAATCCACAAATTGAGGCCGTGGAGCGTGGAAAAGCGCGCTCCACTTTCGTTCCAGTTGACCTGAAGTTTCGCCAACGGCTCTGGCAGAAGCACCCGACCTGCAGTAGCACCAAGTCGGCAGCCGGCGGCTCCAGTTCTTCTGGCGCCACGTGAGGTCTGAAGCGATGACAGGATGCAAACTGAACCTGTAGCATTGCCGGGTGCTTTTGTTGGCCTGGCTGGAGGAGAGGCTGCGCAGGTGGGTCAACCTTCGCGAGGCGCGCGCCCCGATCATGCGACACTCCAACGAGTGCACCAGCCCGAGCCTTTGAACTGGCAGACTCCGCCCAGCCTTGGCTTTGCATAGGATTGGAATCCAGGTGCCACTGCACGAGGTGATGCCGCGCGGTAATCTTCAGATGAGTGGCGGCCCAGGAGCACGGGTCCCCCGGCCTTAAAAGGAGTCAGGGGTCCAAGAAAGCGACTCCGTCCTGTTCCTACTTGCAGTCAGTTGAGTTTGCCACGCTGCTGCCGAGAGCAGGGAAATCCTGAACGG